CCAAAGAAAGTATTTTGCTTCGTCTATGTTTAGAAAAGGGATAACAGCTTCCGTGCATCGATTGTGAGTAATGGTAAGCATCAATAACTAAGAGCTCTTTACGGATTTATCTGATCGGTAATGGGATTAATACTCGTGCATTTTGATCTGTGTCATCACACCAAAACCTAAGAAAGCTCACCAAATTTCACCACTAAAACCCGGCTCAAGTGAAGCAATTAAAAACAAACCCACAATACCATACAAACTGGCTTTACCTTTCTCGCATAAAGCTCTCTATGTTTATATACAATTTGTGATTTTTTGATCAATGGAAAGACCCTAAAAATTTCATAGGTCTTTGTAACCTCAGCATTACCGGAAATGGAAAGTCTGGCCAGAGAGAAAAATGTCCGGAAGTATTAAAATTTAGTGAACGGGAAAAGACGGACAGATGGCTAGCAGATTGGGCAAACTTGTATTTACACAAGCAGTTTTAGTGCGTTAATATCTTCATTTGGCATAAAACGCAATAAAATCTTGACCCCAGGTAATGAGAATTGACAGAGCTTTCAAAAACTTTTCGGACTTAGTTGTTGCGGTCTTAATTTCTAAGGCGGATTCCATATTTTGATTTCCGAACACTACGAATAATTCAATAGACTGGGCGAGCAGATTGCTTATTAAATCAAACTTTCTCGTTAAACTGTTGTTTTTTTTATTAAATCAATTTTGAGGACGAAAACTGCAGGCTTAAAGTACTTAAATGGTTATCACGACCTCAGGAAGATATTTGAGATTGATTTCGTTGTTAGCCCAAAACAAACATTTCCCACAGCGACTGAAGATACGTCGAGTGGGTACTGAATTGACGCGGTTTCTGTTCGGAAACGCGTTCAACATACCTTCCAAATAGTTTACATTCAACGAAAATTGCGGGTTCGTCTTGATTGAATGTTGAACACATCTTTCGTGACACACGAGATAAGATCTTAATGAGGGCGGGGCGCACCAATTAGTCACTTTAACGTGCCTGTCAGCACTTTCTCGGAAGCCTTGCATGAGTATCGAAATAAATAAGACGGGCACGAAAAAAGGGATTCCATTAAAAAACAAAGCATTGAAAAGAAAATAAGACTATAACAACAGACGGGAATCTTAAAAACTATTAAGGTATAGTTAATCACCGAATAAAATAAATAGCCCGTGGAAATGAAAAGCGATCGATATCTCGTTATCTCGCGACCCTGATCCGCTTAAGTCCAGTTTGGGATTTACAGTACAAACCAGAGAGCTCCTTAGAGAGACATAACGAAGAATAGCAGGAAGATAATTGATGATCTTATATAGCTGAATTATAAGATGACCTAAGGTGAGGTAGAATAAAGGTTTAACGCCCCCTAGAACGCTTGTCAATGAATCCAATACACCACATACCCGTGCGTAAGAGCTGCCACCACTGTGATACGACGCGGTGTGGTTACCCCTTAAAAGAAGCAAAAGCACTAAATTGAGTCTAATTCACACTAATGGATTTTAGAGAGTCTGTTGATGTGTTTTGCATTGGACTGAAATATTCTAGGGTAATCTCCGAACGTCAACAAAAGCGAGTCTGACCACAGCAGTCGACAACGACAACTGACGCCTACGGGATCAGTGTCGGAGCATGCGTGTGAAAAGCCTGTTCGATGAATGATTGGCCCGTAAAGCTGCTTCGAAAACAAATTATGCAAGGACCAATCGATTGATAATGCAAGCATCAAGCTGTGATTGAACTCAAAAACACAGATGCAGACGGCCCAGTCAACAGCGTTAGGGCAAATAATCATTTACCATCAATCTAGTCTGGATAGTCTCGTCAAAGAAACCACCACAATCTCGGAAGCAAAATATTTTACGAGGTGTAGGGAAACAGCAAATTCTTACCCGACATTGATGTTATGGACAATCTTTCGATGTTTAGTCAGAGCGCTTCTGTTGGCCATCCGACCGTAGCTGACTTCATCGAGCCCGGTAAAGATTCTCCATACGTTGGCAATTCGTTCATGGAGCCAAGCCACGGTATGCTCGCGCGAACAGCCTTCAGCTTGGCTCATAGAATTCCCGAACCTATCGCCGACACCAAGGCAGTGTTTAGCTCTCAAACCACCGGCTATCCATTTACCCCACACACCAGTCAAGTGAGAGCTGCGTGTGCCGCTCAAAATCTGAGTAACAGAGATTACCCGCTTCATCGTCAAGACCATCTGCCCGGTTCTAGCTCTTTAGCTCACGGTCCCCACGGACATCCTCTCTACGATCCTGTAGCACCGGGAACGGGTAGATTTCCTCAATGCCAAGGTCCTTCGATACATTCCAATTTCAGCCCTCTGGCACTGCATCAGGCAAGACCAGACGTTAAACGACACAACTTCTATCCAACAATGAACGGTCCGCCAGATCCTGAGACTTCTCAAAGGCCAGCCTTCACTTTTCCACCGCCAGGCGACATGTACTCGCGAGTAGACATGTACTCGCAGTCACCGTACAGTTACGACCATCACCGCCCTCTCAATTATGCTCAGGTTCACTTCACTCAATTCATGAGCCAGCCACCTAACAAAATCATGACTTGTGAATGGATTGATCCTCAAAACTACCCCAAGAATAAGATCTGTGGCAAGCAATACACCAGTATCCATGAAATAGTAAGGCATATTAATGACGAACATGTTAGCCAAAACGACTCTCCACTACATGTTTGCTTTTGGAGAAACTGTGGACGTAACGGACTTCCGTTTAAAGCTAAGTACAAGCTGGTAAACCACATCAGAGTGCATACGGGAGAAAAGCCATTCCCTTGTCCTTTCCCTGGATGTGGCAAGCTTTTCGCAAGGTCTGAGAATTTGAAAATTCACAAACGAACTCATACTGGCGAAAAGCCTTTTGTATGCGAGTTCCCCGGGTGCGATCGCCGTTTCGCCAACTCAAGCGATAGGAAAAAGCACTCCCATGTCCATACGTCAGATAAGCCATACAACTGTAAATATCAAGGCTGCAACAAAAGCTACACACATCCAAGCTCTCTTCGTAAACACATGAAGTTGCACGGAATATCGCCTTCACCGCCGCCATTAATCGACTCAAGCGGACAAGACAGGAGTCATTTAAGTACCCCCTCACCGCCGGAACACATTCGTCTCTCGATCAGTTCGTCAAATAGCCAAAGCTGCTCGAGTTCACAAAGCGAACGTGAAGTCAACACCAACTGGTACTCGTGTTAGAGGTGGAAGAAAAAAGAGACAACTTATACACAACAACTTCCCTCAAGGTCAGTCCTGTTGTCAGTAAACCACAATGAGACAAACAAAGCGGTTACATTTTAAGGCCACGGTCGATCTCGACAAAGTAACGGACATTCTGTATGTAGAATAATGAGTTGTAGGTTTGATATTGTAGCTCTGTTAGAGATTCTATCAATAGTAGGCGTCATGGCTTGAAGACATGACAATAATAATGTACCGATTGAGAATATCCATATGACTTAAGTTCCTGTGGTGTAGAGTGAGTTAAGCTACCTCAGTTAGCTGTGATTCGGCTAACTACAGGAATCATCACAAAACAAAATTATCTGAAAGTCATTCAGATATGGGAACTTTCTTTAGGTGGGGCAAAAATTGAAACAAAAAAACGATCATTCATGTTTGTTCGTTCCTTTAATTATGACCGTTAAACGTTTTGCAAGGGACGTCAAAATTATTCACCTAATATTCTAATCTGTTTTTGCAAATGTAGTTCCTCTTCAAGAATGACTAGTTTTTGCTTTGTTTTTCTTTTGTGTGTAAAAAAGGAAGGATAATAATTAATTCCACTATTGTTTTCAATGCGACATTCAGATGCTCAAAGACAAACCAATACTTTTAACTTACGCTAAATTAATATACCAAAACTACTTGCAGTCAACCTTCAACTATACAGAGATCCAAGAAATTATTGCACTCGCTACTCAATGTTTCTTTACCAAAGTGTATGCTCAGAAAAAGCAGTGCTTACTCTAGAAGAACAGCATGCACCCATGCGAACTGGCAAACTCTACCCGCTTCCTCAACACAAAATTTTTTGTACTTAACGGAGCAATGTTTCCAGTTTTTCTTTCAGTGGAACTTATGTGGTTAAACACGACATTTTGTTTCTTAGTGTTCGTTTTTAATTAAGCAACGAGAGCCTTTCGCTGATTTATTTCATTCGCTATTCTATTCCAGTCTTATTCTCTGATGCTAACTTATCAATGTATCGATACATTGTCAACTTTAACTCCGTTTGTTAAACTTTACTACACTATTTGCTCTTCTTAAAACACTGTTAGTTGCAGAACAAACTATCAAGGAAATTAGAACTACTGATAAAAAAAAAGACAAATAAAACAATTGTGAATGGAGCCGTGGGATAGTGTGTCAACCTCACTTGAAGCGATCCATCACGGATTTAAAGAATTACAGTCGTGTGGGAGAAAGTGTGATGGTAAGCCACCAATATGTTTTCCTCAGAGGAATATAACGAATATTTTGTTATTTTTGTGTGTCTGTGTGTGTTCACAAGACGCTAAGCGTTGTCCTTGTGAGTAAGAAAAATACATCTAGCACATTGAACAGGGAGGTCGAACTCAATAGGAACGGAAATTCCCTACGCGCTCTATTGATTGAAACAAAGGCTCTTCATTTTCAACTTTTGTTCGGTTAAAACTAGGATTATAAAATACCTGAATCCCTAAACATTATAGATTACAGCTTAAATGGATGTTTGATTTCGGTATATTTTTGACTGAACTTGTTATCAAGTTAGATAACTTGTTAGTTTCTTCGAAATGAGGTCGGATCACAACGCCCGGCTCTGTTATGTGTAGGTGGGGTCAATTCAAAGCCTGCCGCATAGAATTCATCGCTAACTCCTTAGCAATTCAGTCGGAAAAACGACGCTATGTTTTCCCACTGACAAGCACACGTTGCTATGCAAGATAACAGGTTACCTCTTGAATGACCAAATCGATCAAACCATTTGATTTATTGTCAAACGACTAGGCACATTCAACCTCCTGAAACTGTCATTGGACGTGCACATTCAGAAACTTCTCGTCTCGCAAATCACGTTGAGATACCTAAAAGTAATTTAAAGATTTTTATCTCTCAAATAGGGCACGCACTGATACGAAAAAACTATTTAATGACTGTGATGATAATCATCTCTAGGCCTAAGGCCGCAAAATCTCGTGGAGACTGTCAACTCGAGTGCCTTGTTTGGGTACTTCTAAACATCCTTGATCTCCCTTCTTGTGATTCTCGTCCAACGTTCGTAAGGAAGCAGTTATCCACGTAATCCAAAGTCAAACTGAAGGACCATTATAACCAAACGTTCGAAGCTCGAAAGACACAGCAGTATTTTTTAGAGGTCAGTACGTACAATAAAATAGTTCGGACTGCTATCGGACTGCTTCCTTCAACAACAGGCAGAATAATGCTCCATGCAGATTGGTAATTTGAGGGGCTACAATGAACGCCCTGCCTTTCCTTTAGACCGGTTTAAAGAGGAAACCCTTCTTTTTACAATCACAAACACTACTCTCCTAAAATAACGGGCTAACAGACGTTATGATAAGCTTTACAACTACGCCGCGACTTTCTTTTGCCGCATGGAGCCAGACAGGTTTTGTTTTCTTTTTTCCCAAGACGTAATGTTTGGCACTCACCAAGTATGTGCGTACGCTAAGCTAAGGGCAAAACTCATTCCGGTAACGATTTGGATCTGAACTGGTGACTTGTTTTCTGAGAACTGTTCTATAAAATAACACGAGAGGGACACGTAAGAGTTAACATCTTAGACCAGACAGGCTGTTTTTTTCGAAGATCATAGCAGTACAACTACGTTTAAAAAACGATCGCATTTCTACTTCATACGAAGTGTCAACACACAATTTTGGAGTTAAAGCCTTAGTCTTTTATAAAACTGAATATTTTTAGAATTTTTTAGCGTACTAATGAACGCTTTCTCGTTTGATACCACTGACAGTGACAACATTCGCTCAACAGTTCACGGTGGGAATTTATTAAGCACATTCTCAAACCAGCAGTTTTTTGCATTGTCTTTTTCCTTTGACTTTTCCGTTTTCTTTGTACAGAAGGACAAATCTCACAGCGTTGGCTTAAAAAGAGCATGTGACTTATTGTCCTGTAGATGAATGCAAAACGGAAGGCAAGGTTTGTTAGAATAATCCCTTTTTTTGGATCTGTCGTTTGCGGTCAAATGAATTTTTAATATGCCCAACGCCTCTTGAAGGATCGCCATGATACAAACTTAATCACTTCATTTCCGAGAGGAATTACATCTCGAACACTAAGATCTGTACACCGATTTTATTGTTGTAGCTTACCAGAATACAACCAGCGAGAAGTGCGCGCAAATTTAAGAAAGCTTGCTTCGTGTACTCGCCGTTTAAATCGCCGCAGGATTTCAAGTGTCTCACAGAAAGATGGAATATAAATACAGGAAGCGGTTGACAATTGAGGCACGATCCAGCCTGCGACTAAACAGAGCTTCCTCCTAAGAGGATTAGTCCCTTTATTTTAAGAAACTCATTTTGATCCGATTTCTAGACCTTTATAACATTACTGATATACATGTTGGAGAAAAAACTATATATCACTCTCTACCTGTTCTCGAAAAAAAAAAAAGGAACTTTCTAATTCCAATGCCGTCAACGCCGCAGGTTAGGATTGCATCTTGGCCTTCACAACGATTCAGATGTCTTTGATTCAATTTTCAGACATGGCCCTGGCTTTACACGTGAAGTTGTTCTTTTTAATTTCAATCATAAGGCAAAAGCACGAAAGAAGGAATGAAAAGGCCACCGGGATATGCTACAAAATAACTCTCTTTGCGCTTATTAGACTTAAACTTGAAACAAATTTAGTTTGACCTGGTTAAGAAGAAATTATGGCTGCCCTTTTCATCCGTATTATAACGCTATTGCTAAAAGGATGGCAATCAGAAACGTTTTAATCCGACCATGTGAAAATAATTACTCTCAAGGCAACAACACCCTTTATTAGGAAACTAACATGCAACCCTTTCAAAGCTATGAAATTCTCCATCAAGTTTCAAAGTGGTTATTTTTCCTTAGTGAGTTTTCTATTTTGGGTCTTACTAAGTGGATAAACTGTCTGGGTCTTTGCAAGACAAGTGCTGGGGTTTGTCATCATGTGGCTTGACGGCCTCGTTGAACCACGAGAAAGAGCAGAGTACAATAAAGAACTTTCAAACTAAAAGGTTTCATCGGTTTGGGCCACTTTTAATTGCAATTGATAAACCTCTGAGCAGAAAAGTTGTTGAACATGATGGCGAATGATTCCGTGAGTTAAATTTAAATCCTGTGTAGAAAGAAAAGGCGCGAGGAACGAGAGAAACGGTTGTTATTTTCGCCTGCGCGGCTGTTTGTGGCCTTTAGCTTTTTTCCGATTTGAATTCACGGAACGCCGTTTGAAAAGGAACAATGGCAAATTGTCGACCCTTCCAAGTGGCTTATAATAGAAATCACAGCATGTAGTAACGGGCTAAATGCAAAACCGTGTTGTTTAGACGTAATTTCAATCCATGGCCTTTGGACCTTAGCCGCTTTGTCAAGGTATCGAGATTAAACAACTCGAGCGAAACAAAGGAAGTGGGAGATGATTTTTAATTAATTTTTGTAAAAGAGGTTATGCTTGAGGGAAGAGTGTTGTAAACCTTTCCCACAACAAAACAACATGTCGACGATTTTCAAAACGTGAAGTGCAACAAAGCTGATAAAATCATTTGGCTAGGAAAAAAAATGGGCTCTGTTGAACGGTTTCTTGTATTTTTCGTGATAGCGCAAGCAGAGTTGCAGTTAACCAGCCTACGCATTCGTGATCCATCGTTTCACAACCCTTTGAACTTATTTCCTATGAGGGGAAATTAGCCCCTTAAAGATCCATCCTGAACTGTCTCATTAATCGAATCATGCCTGGAGAGGTCCTCTAACCTAATTACTGACCATACTTTGATACATCTTTTTTAGTGAGACAATGGTGAAAGAAATAAAACTATTATTTCGTATTTCTGATCATACAACCAACGTCATCACAAGTTTTCTATTGTGCGATCTACAAATATCATTATAGAAAGGAAGCGGCCACTAACGCTTTGGTAAAATGTACCCTTGGAAAATAATGCCACTTTTGACGAAGAACCTCTTCTAAACAAGGAAATATACTTCTTTTTTTTTTTCCCAGTCAAGAGGAAATAGATTTCGTGGTTTACATACATATATAACCTCGCTAACTCGGTGCTCTCGAGTTCGAGATAACCGATGATGTAAGTCTGACCATATTGTTTGAGTTTAAAAGCCTTAAGAACTACAATAATCTATGAATGCTTTCTAATTTACAAGGATTAATTTAACTAGGTTATTTATATTTTTTTTAGTCCTTGATTGTTTAAATGCATCTGCTCTCGGCTTCGTTTCAACTCAAAGCCGTTGTACCTCGCGATTGTTTACGCGAGACAATGACTACAAGCTGCTACCCAAAGGCCATTTCGACTCTGACCATGATGTAACAAACATCCATGGAATAATGACTGTAATAACCAATCGATCGTAAATTCTTCATCATCATTAAGTGTAAATAAATTGGATAGTGGTGAACTAGAATGAAGAAAACTCGGTCCCAAGCCCATTTTTTCGCCGTAAACTGTCCAATAAGAAGCGAGCTTAACCAAGTCTGATCATAAATGATCCACACTTCCGTAGTTCTCGGTTGGAAGGCAAGAATATTTCAAGGTTTTGTATTTCAACTGGGTCCAGAAGAGATTTTATAAGAAGGAAGATAAAATCAAATAGAGAGGTTTGCTTCAAGCTGATACCTCCTGAAAACTGAACAGGAATTACATCCATCCAGAAGTATAGTAAAAAACATTGAAAAAATCTACGAAATCCTCAATTCAGAGTCCGTATTCAACTTTAGATACGGGAACTGAAGACCTAAACTTGGCTATATTATTATCAGAAACTTTCTCTGTGGTGATCATATTTTTTGGAGTATGGGCTAAACTGCACGTCATACTACTGTCAAAGGATATAAGACATAAGAAACACTTTGAAAGTAGATCAGTAACCAGTGATTTTTGAAGCAATTTTCTTACTTCTCCTGAACGTTTTTAAATTCTCTTTAAATCTGAGAGTCCGATGGTAAAACAGGTCAGACGTGCCATTCAACCAGCGGCGAGAGCTCTCAGTTTCTCTCATTTTCAAAGGCTTTATGCTAATGCACGATAGTGATAATAACTTACAGGATTAAGTTACGATACAAACATCGGAGCATAAGGTAACTACAAGACCTCCTTATTTGTCTACTGACAAACCATCTGTAGTGCAATCTCGTAGGATGTTTGTAAAACTTTTTTTTTTTTTTAAACCTTTGGCTACCTACTTGAGAAGCTTTTGTTGGACATTATTAGATGCTATTTTTCGTTAGACAGAAACAAACTGTAGTGTCACACTTAAATAGGAACAGAAGTTAAAGGAGAGACGGCAGGCATTAACAAAAAATAAACCGAGGGTGGTCTAGGCTCAAGAAAAGAGAGCACAAAATGCTGACCGCATCAGACCTACCTGAAAGAAAATGATCGCTTGTTCCACTCTAAGACTTTATGAGACGGATCTCCTTACATGTAGGAGTAACTACATTGCATTCTATACAAGTCAGTTCCTCTTAAAGGAAAAGAAAAAAAAATTTTCGATTCCTATTCATGCTTGTCATCAGACAGGCATGATGAAAGGCAAAACACTCGGCTAGAATTTGACAAGCTAAAAAAGTTGAAATGTAAGCTGCATACTTTCCGAGTGCTGCAAAGTGACAACGCAATTAGGGAACCTTGGGACACCATGGGAAGATGACGGATCTACTCTACAGATACGTTGATTTAACTGATGGCCACAATTTACTGACTCAAATACAGGGACTCGAAACGAAAAGAAGGAATTCTTCTCTTATTCGTCCTACAACAATGAAAAAACCTGATTGTTTTCACTATACTTTACTCCATAAGACAACTAATAAGCTGTGATAAATTCTGATTATGTAAAATCCTCAATAAGATCGTAGACAAAACAATTATTACACCTAACAATTCACACATCTTTCCCTGGCTGACAAAAGATTGCGTTCAGTTACCGCCAACAGAACATGGCGAATATCAGGTCAAACAAAAAGAACACACGCCGGAGATTTAGAAAAACAATAGGCTTAAATAGCGAGCGGTTTATCCGTCCTAGTAAATCTGTACAAACTAAACACAAACGCCGCCACACGTTAAAATTATATAAACATTATAACTAGACTTCATCTAACTGAAGTCGTGTTTCGCCGCACAACAATGTCAGAACCTGACTAACACTGGGATCTAAATGAACAATGCGATTTTATAAGCAAAAACAATGCAGATTTGTAGTTGTGTTTTCTCACTTCACTCATCGTTCATTGTTTTTTTTCCCTTAGTATTCGTCTCTACAATTTAGATTGTTCAGTTGGAGATCTGTTGAACTTCTCCCCCTTGGTGCATAAAATGTTATGATTAAAGCT